ACACACACACACACACACACACACACACACACACACACACACAACACACACACACACACACACACACACACACACACACACAACCCAGGAGCTGGGCACTTGCTCCCTGGTTCTTCGGCTCCTTCCTCTCTGCCCACCCCACCACCCCGGCCACCCAATTGTTTCCTCCGTTGCTGCTCCCCATCCTGGAAAGGCTTTCCCTTCCAACATCCACCCTGTCGAAGAAACAGAGTCAAGGAGAAGAGGAAGGAAAGCCAGCGGTGAGAAATCGGGCCCGGATCCTTCCACCCTTTCTTCCCACGCTCCCTGGTTCTTCGGCTCCTTCCTCTCTGCCCACCCCACCACCCCGGCCACCCAATTGTTTCCTCCGTTGCTGCTCCCCATCCTGGAAAGGCTTTCCCTTCCAACATCCACCCTGTCGAAGAAACAGAGTCAAGGAGAAGAGGAAGGAAAGCCAGCGGTGAGAAATCGGGCCCGGATCCTTCCACCCTTTCTTCCCACTTGATCTGTTGGGTTCCAGAGCTGGAAGAGAGAAAGGGGGGGAGACCCCCCTCTCTCCTTCCTGAGGCTCCCCTCGCTTTGCCTGCCGTGGCCCCTCCGTTTACAAGGGAACTTGCTTTCCTCCCACGCAGTGCAAAGGAGAGTCTGTGCGCACAAGCAGGCCGAGGAGCCGGGCCCAGGGCGCCACATTCCCTCCTCCATCTGGAATGTATTTATTCTTCTCTGGTCGCAGAGGCCACCTCGAACAGCCCTTGTGGCTGCTGCCCAGAAATCCTGGCATAGAGGACTGAGCGGAAGAGGAGGCCAAACCTTCCGTGGCCTCTGCTCTGCCCCCGGGGGGGGGGCAAGACACAGAGCCCCCTCCGCCACCCCTTGCCAGGGGGTTTTGGATGGCCCCACGAAGTCCCAGGATCTGTGGCATGGATGCCCTAACCCTTAGGCTAAGCTGCCATTCAAGCTCTCTTCTGGTCTTAGTGCTGAGCCTACCTGTGGCCCTCCCCACTCTTCCCCCCCCCGTGGGAAGTCGGAGAAGAGCAGCCGAAGCCAAGGGGGCCTCTGAGCAAGAGCAGAAAGCAGTCCCCGCCCTAGTGGCAGGGAGCGGAAATGCGGACACGGAGGTCCCTTTTCCAAACGGGGGCGGGCGGGCCGGCTGTGGCGGGGCTTCGGCGATGAAAGGGGAGCGTGCACTTTG